TCTGTGTACTCTTCATTCTTTTCTACCCTGCCCCATCGAGGCAGGAGAAAGCTAGCAAACAGGAGCGGGTAAGGGGGCTGGAGCATCTGCCTATATGGCTAGATAGAAAAACCTGATAAGGACGGAAAGTTACTTGCCCAAGCTATGTAGGCAAGAGATTAGTGGGGTGTCCAGCTGATTAAGCCACATTTGACATAGCCAATGAAAAATCAGTGGGCCCAGCCCCATTTGATAGAGCCAATGAGATGAGAACAATCAGTGGGCCCAGCCAATGATCAACCAACACGACCTAGATTAAAAGTTTCAAACTTGGCAGAATGCAATTGCCTGGGCCTTTTGAGTCACTCTTTCTCTGTCTGCTCAGGCCTGCTCCTACTTCTTGGGAATGTACTTTTACTTTTATACTTCACAAATAACCTTTGGGACCAGCAGATGGCACGGTGGTTAAGGTACTGGACTCCCACACGGCTGACTGTGGCTCAAGTCCCAGACCTGGCGGCTTGCTTTCTCACTTTCTCTCTCTGTCTCTCTGATCAAAATGAAATAACAATAATTAATAAAATAAATAATTCTTTTGAAAAAGGAATTAAAGGGACCAGTAGATAGGGTAATGGTTATGTAGCTGGACTCCCACAGAGTCAACTGCAGTTCGAGTCCCACACCTGGTGAATTAAAACTCACCTCAGGCATGTAAGTGACCAAGATTCCAAGAAGAGAATGGAGGAGAAGGGATTGTGGCAGGGCCGTTCCCCCCGGGGGGTGATTTCTCACTTTCTGACTCTGTCTCTCTCTCTATCTTCAGTGAACACACACATCCTATATAACAAAATCTCTCCAAAAATTTTTTTAAAAATAAAAATAAATAAACAACCATTTCCTTTCATTATTGGTGTGTTTCATTCCATTCTTTGTCTTAAACACCAAGAACCTGGATATCATTATAGAAGCCAAACTGGAACCCTATGACCAGGACACGGGCCTCAAAGGACTGTCTCAACTTCACTTCCTTGCCATTTGGCTTCCCATTGGGTTTGGCCAGTGGCAGGCACTTGCAGGACACAGGAAGGTGGCTCCCTCTACGCTAGGCCATAAGTGGTCAGTGGCCGAGCTCCCAGTTCCCAACTCGTGGCCTTCTTCTACAGCTCCAGCCCTTGTCCAGTGGGTGGTTGTAGGAATCGATATTTCTCTTTCCCCTTTCAGGCCTACAGCTTCCTGCGGACACTATCCCCAGAGTGCTATACCAGTGTCTAACTGGTTTTCCTTAACTCTGCCGGCATCCCCATAAAAGATCCATTCTTTAAACTTCCTTCATGAGAGTAGCCTGACCCATGTGGGAGAACCGCCCTGTTGATAGCAGGAAGTCTAATTTCTTTGTTTCTTGCCTCCACCTGCTCTTTGAAGCCACTTGAAGTCTTGCTGACTGTTGTGCTTCTGGGATGTCACTTCTGCTTGGATGGGAGCAGTCCAGGAATAAAAGCTGCTCAGGGACCTTGGCAAAGTAAAGGAGCAGCTTGTGTCTTCTGTGGGTCCTAAGCAGAACTGCATGGGTCCCCGTGTTCCCCACACCTGTCCCCAGGATCTTGGATAGGCATGTATCTGGGTTATGCATTTGAGGGACAGAACGGCCTCTCCCTCTGGAACCTGGGAGGGATAAGGATCTATTACTCTGTCAAGCGCACAATGCAGGCCCCTCCTTTAATCAAGATGATCTTACTCTTGCAAGGCTTCTCATTCCTTTTACAAACCAACTGCAGGCAGGGTGTGCCACCGTGTTGCCAGGCATGCGTAGACCTGTGTGATTCTGCTTACACTTGAGCTGGGTCCTTCTAAAAGAGGTTGGGAAGGTAGATTTGGGCCAGGTAGCAGGAGGCCTCTAACATAGTTGAATGGGTTTGAAACCCACACTGTGGGTGAGGAATCACTGTCTTCTAGCTGGGGAGAGACGTGGATCCAAAGTCGTTATGGCTGAGCCCGTTGCTGTCTCGGAGCCCAGTCTTGCTCTCTGTCTGGCTGATATCATCTGACCAGGGGAGTTCTAGCGAGGTGCTCTCCATCCCCCTACCTCGCTATCGTTCCTTGGTAGTCACTGGTCCTTGAAGTCACATTGTTGTCTTCTTCCTTCCCCCATTCCGTAAGGGCAGGGACCTTCTTTAGTCAACACTACATTCCCAGGGCCTGACCCGTAGTAGATACTCTATTAATTGTGTGTTGGATGAGGAAATGAAGTGGCTCAGTGAATGACTTTAGATGAGGAAGCCCAGAGAAGTCAAGAGACTTAGCGATTTGCTTAAGAGTGCAGAATTCATTTCCAGCAAAAACTGCCTAACCGCAGGCTCTCTAACCCAATCTGCTGAGAGATGGATTAGTAGTATGAGTGAAAGGGCAGCCCCACTGATCAGAACTGAAGTGAGGCGCAGAGGTAGACTTGGGAAGGGGAAGTTAGCATGGAGCCAGCCCCTGCAGCAGGGGCTTGCCTGTGGTCTGATTTACAACCTGTACTGCAGGCATGATTTCTCCACTTTAATGTTTTATTTAATTAAAACAATGTAAAGTTTTTGCCATAGAGCACAAGTGCTCATGGGAGAGACAGACAAAGAGAGTAAGAAATAAAGGGAGAAATCACCTCCTGGAAGAATGGTCATGCTGCAATCATTCCTCCACTCTCTTCTTGGGATTTTGGGCATGCGCACGCGCGCACACACACACAGTTGGCTTAAAACTCAACTTGAGTTTCCTTATTTATTATTATTATTATTATTAGAGAGTTTTTTTGCTATAGGTCATGTGCCCTCGCCTGAAAGACAGAGAGACAGAAAGCGAGAAATCACTGCCCATGGAGGATGGCCACACTGCAATCCCTTCTCCTCCATTCTTCTCTCAGGATCCTGGGCATGCACACACACACATCCAGGGGGAGTTTAAGCCACCGGGTCCAGGACTGGAACTGGGGTTGACTACATGAGAGTCCAGCGAGACAGCCATTACGCCAACTGCTGGTCTCAAGTTTCATTATTTTTATGAACCAAAGAAATAGCAGGGAAGGGCAAGCTGTAATCCCATCTCCATTCTCCTCTGGGGATCTTGAGCAAGCATGCAACATGCCCAGGGTAGTTTTCTATTTTTTCTTAAGAGAGATTTTTGCTACAGGGTACATGTGCTTGTTGAAGAGACAGAGAGAGACAGAGAGACAGAAAGTGAGAAATCACTTTCAGGAGGATGACCACGCCACAATCCCTTCTCCTCCATTCTCCTCTCAGGATCTTGGGCATCCACATGCACCTGGCACGAGTTTAAAGCCACTGGGTCTGGGACTTGACAGAGGTGCAACTATGTGGGAGTTTAGTGATGCATCATTTCGCCATCTGCCGGTCCCAACCTGGTGTATCTTTCAAGCTGTAGGGTCCAGGACTTGAACCATGTGGGACTCAGTCACCTTAACCACCATGCCACCAGCTGGCCGCATTAAGTTTCTCTCTTTTATCCATTTATGAAGTACCCGACTCCTAAATTTGACTCTTTCCATGCCTCACTCAGCCCCTTGCATGCAGGATTAAACCCGGGAGTTCTCCCTGGAGATGGTCTTGGCGCTGGCTTCACAGTCACTTGAGAGAGGGCAACAAGAACCACGTGTTGGCTCAGGGCAGCAGAGGAGAACTGGGATACATGGCTCTCACCTCCTGGAAAAACGGGTGCACAGCAAGGCAGGAATCTCTTTTGATTGAGAAGAGCAATCAGAAAAGGTTAGTGTGGAGAGATGGGGGCTCACCTTGAGGGTCTTCTGCTTCCAGGTATTGCAGAGAGGCAGGGCAGGGGAGTCAGGCAGAGCAGAGCAAAGCAGAAGGCTTTGGAGCCAGAGATAACACAGATTCCAACCCTGGGAGAACCGGTGGGGGGCAGGGTGGATGTGAGGGGCCGAGTCCCTTCCTGACTAGGAGCAGCCTGAAGGGGAGGTGCCAGGGCAGGCCTCTTGTACAGCCCACGGTTGGTCGGTTGGTCGGTTGGTCGGTCGTCTGTAAGCCCTGTCAGACGTGGGCTCTTAGTTTGGATTTGGAACTTAAGGTCACTGAGGCCCAGGACGAAGACCCTGCCTTCCGTGGGGAACAGGCCCCGGGATGCACAAGGTGCTCTTTGTGTGTGGGTGCTCCCTCTCCGCCTGGGTGTTAACGACAGGTCCCCGGCCCAGGGCTAGTCCCAGTCTACGGATGCCCACAGGCTGGCTGAGTGTCAAGGGCTCACGGAGACCTCAGAGGGGACATCAGCAGCCCCCTGACGCCCATCCCTCCCCTCACGGTGTAACTCAAACTTGCTAAAAGGGGCTTTCATAAACAAGTCTGAAAAGTCTGGCAGCTCTCCCCACCGCTGCAGGCCCCCCGGGAGGGGGGTGGGGTGGGAGTGGCTGGGGGGGGAGGGGTCAGCGCTGTTACCCTTTCCTTCCTGCTTGGTCTCCAGCCCAGCTTCCTCAGGCCCCAGCCCCCCTGGGCTCTCCACCCAGCTCTGCTTTAACCTTTTCCTTCGAGGGAAGGAGGGGCCGAGGTCCCCGTTCTCCAGGGAAGCGGTGGGGGCTGGGGGGGAAACGCCGAAGCTCTGTTCAAATGTCAGAAAAGGATCCGTGAAACTAGCTTTCTTCTCCTCTCGCTTCCCCTTCCTCCCACTAGGGAAAGGGGAACGTGGAAGGAAATTAACTTTGACCCTGGATTCTGGCCCCGGGCCCAAAACTTGGGTAGAAGGCAGAGGTTTCCAGGACCCTCCCCGCCCCCTCTCTCCCACTCGGCCCCTCTCTCCCTCCGCCTCCCGCCCCCCTTTAAGCTACCCAGCGGACGGAAAAGAGTGGATCTAGGAGGGGCTGGCGGAGGCGCAGGGGAAAGCTGGGGGCGGAGGGAAGGGCGGCGGGAGTCCGACGGGGTCCACCCCCCGCTGCA